AAGCCCGCCACTCACTTTTCACAGACTAGTTCATAGGCTGCAAAGAGAAAGAAAGAACTTTACTATGGAATCAGGGCAATAAACAGTATGGTGACAGCCCTGAAGCCTCTTTTTTTTTTTTTTTAATTTGTTCTTTTTGGATATACATAACAATGGAAGGTATTTTGACATGTTATACATATATGGAGTATGACTTCCCATTCTTGTGTTTGTATATGATGTGGAGTTTCGCTGGTTGAGTATTCATACATGATCATAGGAAAGTTATGTCCAAGTCATTCTGATGTCTTTCCTATTCTCATTTCATCTCCCCTCCCTTCATTCCCCTTTGTCTAATACAATAAACTTCTACTCCCCCACCAAAAAAAAAATATATATATATATATATATATATATATATATATATATATATATTCTGACTCAACTAGTAAAATAATGTAGGTTTGAAAATCTGTAAAAAAAAAAATAATTATAAGAGTAGACTGGAGAAAAGGAAGTGGGTTAGGAGAAAGGTAGTCATGAAGTCTTTTTATTTGTTTAGTTTTTTTGTTGTTGATGATGTTGTTTTGGTACTGGAGACTGAACCCAGAGGTATTTTACCATTGAGATATCCTGTTTTATTTTTTATTTTGAGACAGGATTTCTCTAAATTTTCCAAACTAGCCTCAAACTTGCAATCCTCTTGCCTCAGACTCCCGAGCCATGTGCCACTGCACCTGGTGCCTTTCATTTTTTAACTCTACATAGTTTTATACTTTCTAAAAATTGTTTTTGTGGTATTTCCACAACTGCATACAAGCATCCCCTGATCAAATCCAACCATACTTTTTCTACTCTACCTGCACCCTTTCCAATCCCCAGTAATCATTATTCTACTTAAATTTATTACTCTGGTAATTAAAAATAAATTAAAACATTAAGATACATAAAAAAGGAAAAGGAACAGCTTCTGCAATCATGAAAGTTAGAATCTTCAGGGCAAAGTTACTAATGGTTACCTTTAAAATCCAATATTTAAATACAAGACAATGATTACAACCTATGGCTCAATTTTCCTCAACAGGCCATGGAAGAAAGTCAAGGAAAAAAAGTTATTAAATAAAAGACATCTTAAAATTAAAAAGTTGAACTCATAGCTGGGCGAAATAGCACACGCCTGTACTTCCAGTGGCTAAGGAAGCAGAGGCTGGAGGATTATAAATTCAAAGCCAGCCTCGGCAATTTAGCAAAGCTCTCAGCAACTTAGGAAACCCTGTCTCAAAAAATAAATAAATAAAAAGGGCTGGGGATGTGGCTCAGTAGTTAAGTGCCCCTGGGTTCAATCCCCAGTACCACACACACACAAAAGTTGATCTTATAGAAGTAGAGAGTCAAAAAGTAGTTACTAGAGGCTGGGAAGGAGAAGGAAGGATGGAGAGATGGTAATTTGGTACAAGGTTATAAGTGGATAAGAGAAATAACTTTTAATGTTCTATAGCACAGTAGGTAATTGTGTTTGATGACAATTAATTGTATAATTTAAAATATCTAGTAGAAAGGATCTTAAATGTTCTCAGCACAAATGATAAATGTTTCAGGTGACAAATATGCCAATAACCCTAATATGATCATTATACATTGTACTGATACATTGAAATATCACACTGTACCCTATAAATATGTACAACGATGATGTGTCAATTAAATATGTAAATAATTTTTTGAAGAGAGACAACTTGGATAATTAGCCTTAAGTATAGCTGGAGAAGTTCTACCAAATGTCCTATAACCATGGAGTCTTCCTTGATACTGGGGAATACCAGTATAACATGCTTTGTTTTGAGTCTTCCTGGTATTCACTATATGGAAATTTGGCTCAGTTTATTTGCAGAATTTATTTTCAACTTCCTAATTCAGGAAGATAAAGTTTAAATTAGCATGTTTCTTTTCTCCTTTATTAACCCAGAAACAAACACAAAAATTAAAATGTCAGAATAACTTTAAATGACGAATATGGGCAAAATGTCAATGGCATATGATGAAGAATGTAGTAAAAACATTTTTAATAATTCAAATGTTTATTTCAGGTGTCTTTTTTGCATATCCTATATAATATGTCTAGTACAGTGTGAATTTTTTTAAATAGATAAACTCAGAAATTTATGACATTTTCACAATGAATTATTTTAGTTCAAAAAAGTGGTTATGTAACCGATGTGAATCTGCATTATGTATATAGGGTAAAAATGGGAGTTCATAATCCGCTTGAATCAAATGTATGAAATATGATATGTCAAGAACTTTGTAATGTTTTGAACAACTAATAAAAAAAATAAATAAATAAAAATTTAAAAAAAAGAATTATCTTAGTTCATTCATTTAACAGTATATGGGTCTCTGGTGATTCCATGATGAAATATCAAATGCTCTAGAGAGTTGTACTGATACCAAATGACAACAAAAGCTTAATATAAAATATATACTAGCTGTCAGATGCTATCCAGAAATAAAATGAGAGTGACCTAAGGTATCTATCAAACCTGTGAAAAAGATACAGAATTTAAGTTAATAATACACTCTTAAAAAAAAAAGTCAACATATGCCCAGTACAGTGACACATGCCTATAATCCTAGCAATTCAGGAAGCTGATGCAAGAGGATCTCAAGTTGAAGGTTAGCCTGGGCAACTTAGTGAGACACTGTCTCAAAATAAAAAAGGGGTGACTCAATGATAGAGCCAATGATATAAGGCTGCATGGGGAAAAAAAAGGGGGGGGGGAACTCTTTGGAAGTAAGTATTTCACTACATTCTACATAGGTCAGAATATATCTGAGGAAATGCATTCAGACCAGGATATCACCTTCCAACATGTACACTGATCATCAGTGACAAGCACAAAGCCTTTTGTAAGGCTAAACACTGAAGCAAGTCAGTTTGAGAGGAATTGGAGCCGTGAGAGGATTTGAAAAAGAAATCATAGGACAAATAGGTCAAGAATTAGGACAGTTAAGTCTGGTTGCAGGCTTGCAGCAGGGAGAGAAAAATAAAGGAAGATAACATAATTAGTTTTAAACACGTAATGATTTCTAAGAAGTAAATTTCACTAAAAATTAACCAAAAGCTAAATGAGCATCCACTAAAGTTTCTTATAGCCTAAAAAGAAACTATTTAATCCTGCCATTTTCTTATCACCTTTTTATCCCAAAGTTCTTTAAAGGATAGTCCATACTCACTGTCTTGACTTCCTAAAGTCTTTTCAGGAAAACTGGCAAATGTTGATAATTAATGAAGCTAGACAATGGGTTTAAGTGGGTTTATAACAACTTTCTCTACAGCTTGATAATCTTGATAACTAACTTCATTAATAAAAAAAGATTATTCACCAGGAATGGTGGCACATGCCTATTATCCCAACTACTGTGGAGGCTGAGGCAGGAGGATCACAAATTTGAGGCCGGCCTTGGCAACTTAGCAAGACCCTATTCAAAATAAAAAATAAAACAGCTGGGTGTTTAGCTCAGTGGTAAAGCACCCCTGGACTCAATCCCCCATACTGCCTAATAACAAAGAGAGAGAAAATTATTCAACTCATAGCTCCTTCCAGTTTTCAACTAACTAAGCTAGACTCCATGTCTTCCCCTAATAAATCTGCTTTTCAAGACTACCATTGACCTGTTAATTATCAAATTCCATTTTCTGCCTCTCCCAAACTCTCAGCAGCATATGATACCATTGCCCAAGACCACCTTGAAATTCTTTTTATCTTAGCTTAAGAAAACCATTTCTCTGATTCTGTCCCTAACCCTGTTTGCTCTGATTTTCTTGTTCTATTGTTCATGTTCTTTTTTGTTTTTTTGGTGGTGCTGGATATTGAACCCAAGGCCTTATGCACGCTAGGCAAGCACTCTACCAACTGAGTTATATCCCCAGCCCCTGTTCATGTTCTTATTACTCTCCTTTGTCTACTCATTCTCCTTGGATAATCTCATTTACTCCACTACCACTATCTACCTATGTGTCCATAACAGTAATGTCAGTACTCAGTCACTGTCCCAAACTTCCCATGCTAAAAATAAAAACCGTATTGTCATCATAAACTGTCCATGTTTCTGATTGCTACTTCAGATAACTGTATCACCATTCAGTCTCTTAACATAGAAATTTTGGAATTATCTTTAATTTCCCTTTTTTTCTTCCTTATGTCCTCATTGTACCAGGTATTAAATCTCAGAGTCTGTATCTGAGATACTTCATCCTTGATAGCCATGGTTCAAGTTTAGACTCTCATTTATTACCTGAAAGAAAGCAATGGTCTCTGCCACTACTCTCCCTTTGATCCAGTCCATTCTCAATATAACCCTCACAGTCATCTCCCAGATACACAAAGCTGATTACATTACCCTCTGCCTAAAAACTTAGGGATGTCTCATTGTATAAAAGTGCCCTTCATTATCTGGCTCCATATATGCCCAAGGGGCTCATGCACACTCCTTGTATCTGTAAGAGACACCAAACTTTTCACTTTTTTCTGAAAACGTCATACCATTTCATCATGGTGCCTTTAAACATGCTGTTTCCCCTATTTGACATGTCTTTCCCACACTTTCCATCTGGAAAACTGGTATTACACTTCAAAGTTCAGATTCCTCATTGGGGATTTCCCTTATCGTTCAATCATTCAACAAAAAATGTGTTGTTACAGTTATCAATATGTCATAAACTGTCACCCTAAGAACCTGCACTCTCATTTATGTTCTTTCAGTACTTTGTTCATACTGCAGTAATTATACTTACCATATTATACCATAGTTACATGTCTCTTCTCCCAGTTAGATCATGATATATTTGAAGGTATGGCTCCTATCCAATTACTCTTTACGTATCCCTACGTATCTAGGATGCTGATTTTGTTCTAAACATATCAGTTTATCTCTAGATTACTATTAGAGCTAAAGAATAACAAACAATGAGTATTCCAATTTTTAGCATTATTATCCAAAACAAATAGCTACATACTTACCTCATGGGGCCATAGTTCAGTATTACAAATGCCAAAACTATCATGACACAGATAGCTCTTCGCTTTGGACTAGGGACTTTAAGCCTCTGGTTCTAAAGGAAATGACCACATGAAATACAATTAAACTACATATCAATCTCACAAAAAGCATTACCTTAAAAAAAAACTTTCCTCTTTACTAGCTATATGAATGCCTTTTCTTATTTAAAAACAAAAACAAAACTCAAAGTTGAGAAAATAGTTCTTTTCGAAATACTGAAGTAGAGCCTTCCAAGATTTCTTTTCCAAAAGAGAGAAGTCAAAGAGAAACAAATAGAGCAGAGAATTCAATAGTTTTATATTTTCATGAATCCCCAAAGAATTTTGAATCACTTGTGTAGTCTGTCTCCCTGTCTTTAAAATCACTGTTTTCACCAATGCACTGGAGTGTTACCACGTGCTCAGGGGTTAAGATAGAAAAAACAGTGTAAGAAATCCCACTGAATAGGTATCTATTTGGTTCAGAACTCCACTGCAGTGGGAAATCCTAAGGCAGCAGATTTTATGAACAGAACTGAGGAGAGATGATTAACCCTGGGAGCAGTATGACAACAGAAGTCAAAAAGCAGTGCAGGTAGACAGAGAAAAGATAACATTTTACTTTATATTTTCTTTTTTAAAAGGGAAGCCCTCATAGGACTATCCAGGAGTCTCAATCTGATTCACTTAGTCAGGAGTATAGAAGGTACTAAGGTAATGAGTTAGGAGAAACCTAAGAAAAGAAGAAGACTTCTAAATAGATTGGGAAGTACAGTTCAAAAGATCATCTTTCAAATTTTATCCTTATTGAAAAATGTTTTTGGACTTATCGTACTCTTGTTTTCCTGGCACTATTGTTTTATATCATTTAAGATGTAAAAGTTTATTAATTTATAAGAAAAAACAACTTTAACCCATCTTAGCAGGCTCCATCACACTCACCTCTGATACAACTTCGTCCAATTGCCGTTTCAGTGACCCATTCTCTTTCTTCAGTTGCTCATTTTCTGAAAGGGCAGCCTTTAATCTAGCCTCTAACCCTAGCATATATTCTTTCTTTTTCTTGCGTGACTGACAAGCCGACTCTCGATTTTTTATCATACGTTGTTGCCTCCTTAGCACAGCAATCTAGGAAAAGTTAGGAAAAAATCAGAATATTATGATTTTAGAATCAGATCAAAATAGATTGGGATATATTGATTTAAACAATTATTTTTAAACTACTGTGCTTAAAACTATATCTTAAAACAGCTTTTAAAATGTACTGTTCAAACTAAGTAAATAAAAATCAAAAGATGAAATAAGGCTTCTGGGAACCTAAATGTTAAATAATTTCTTCTGAAGTGTTCCTAAAGCTTATTTATTGATCTTCCAATTTTCTCTTTAGACACTCCCTTAGAAAGTTCCTTTAAATACATAAGCATACATAGTTACTCTTCAGTATTCATGAGGAACTGGTTTCAGAACTCCCCAGTTACCAAAATCTGCAGATACTCAAGACCCTTATATAAAATGGTTTAGTTTCTGCATATAACCTACTCATATCCTCTTGTATATTGTAAACCATCTCTAGATTACTTATTATATCTACTATAATGTGTAAGTAGCCATTGTACCATATTGTTTAGGAAATAATAACAAGGAAAAAAGTCTATATATGTACAACACAGAAGTAATATTTTTCTGAATGTTTTCTATCTCAGTTGATTAAATCAACTGAATATGGAACACAGAGATACAGAGGACCAATGATATATACATCTTTAATCAACATCTCTGTCCCTAAATTAATTGACTATGCTCCAAAGCCATATATCCAATTACTTATAAGACTACTTCTACTTGTAGAATCCATTCAAATTCAATACGTGAAAAGTGAACACATTTCCCTCTACCTAGATTTTTTAAAAATCTATCCATCTTCTATCAATAGTATTTCTCAGAATATAAAGGAGGAAATGATCATTATTATATCTTTTATTCTCTATATTCATTCCCACTCCCAATCCCTCATTTACTCACCAAATAATGTGTGAAATATATGCTAATGACCAACTTTCTTTCAGTAAATATGTGTCTTAGTTATCCCTTCCTATTTCCACTAACATTCTCTTAACACAGGCACTCACTAACTTACCCAGACTACTGAAATAGATGCCTATTTGAATTGTCTTTGGTTTTATCTTGTCCACCAATTCTAAAACAACCCTCCAAATGTTTATCTTACCAATCCATTGCAAAGACAAGCTATTCATACTTCCCAGCTACCCACTCTTATTTTCAAATCCTTCCCTAATGTGATCACTCCCTACCTAAGGATACTTTCTGCCCTAACTATACAACTATTCATGCTATATCCTCTAATCTTCTCATTTAAGGCTACTTAATAATCTCCTCACATGTCTAAATGATTTCTTTATTCATACTGTTTGTTCCTATTTGGGATGTCATCTCCTCTACTGACTTTGTTCTAAGGTCCCTCTAAATTCCAATTATCCTTATTTGATATTTAAATTTTCTCTGAACATCTTATTCCCTTATTATTTGGGAGATACACCAGAACACTCCAATGGTCTCAACTATTTTAAGAATGTTCACTTTACCTAACTTTTCAACCTGGAAACCAAAACCATGTCTGATACTACTTTTTTTGTTAAATACCCACAATATCTACCATAATAAAAACTAATTGAACCAAGTTATTTTTGTTAAGTTTTCTAAACTAAGTTATAGAAACCATTATAATAACATTAGTCTAATTCAGGGGTGGGGGAATTAAGGGAAAGAGGTAACAAAAATTAAATCCATAAAAAAGCACCAGAGAATAATATTTAAATTGATTAGTGTTAAGTATACAGATGCCTAAAATATTGACGTCTATGTACTTTGGAATGGACTTTAAAAAATAAATATCCTGCTGTGGGGTGTTCCATAACTCAATCAGTAAATTTAAAAATTTCATATCAATTTGTTTTAAAATAGTAACATAATTCCCATCCAAATACATTTCCTAGAAACAGGTATGCCAGAACCAATCATGTGATCTCTCAGCACCAAGTACTGTCAACAAACTCTCAATCATAACCTACAAGAAGAAATGTTATATGAAATATCAAAAAAGGGTGTTTTTTTCTTTTTTAACTTCACAAGTGTGCTAATTATATGATTACAATCATCATCTATAAAAATTTCCCCTGTGTAACAACTATCCAACTATCCCACTCTTCAATAATGTTCTCTCTCTCCCTCTCTCTCTCTTTCTCTCTCTCTCTCTCTCTCTCTCTCTCTCTCTCTCACACACACACACACACACACACACACACAGCAGTAGCAGCAGCAAGCCATGATGGATTGATTATTCACCAATTTCAAACTATTCTCTGGAAAATACCACTCTGTTCAATCTAATGTTATTTTTAGTTATTGTCATTATTCCTGAGAATGCCAGTGTCCATAATTAATACTTAATAACAGAGTGCTGAAGTACACTGAGTACTGAACAAGTACACAAAAAAGAAGGTTCCAGATGGAAGAGTTCATACTAAAAGTTAGGTCAAAGGCAACCTTTTTTTAAAGGTCACATAACCTATGGAATCTGGGGAGGCATACAGATGGCACACTGTTTAATAAATTTCAAACAAGAATTGGGTATTTCTATAAACAAGAAAAGAACCTGCATATTATGCAATACTAAAGTTTCAAAGGGTGTCAATCCACATGCTTCCTACCAAAAAAAAAAAGAAAACCACCCGTGGTCAAATATTCATCTTTTTCACACAGAAAAAGATTCATTATAATAGTCCTGAAATTACTCAATACATCCAAAAAAAAAAAAAAAAAAAAAAAAAAGAAGGGAAAGGAAAACCACAGGAATCAAAGAATATAGGCTTCCAACTTCATTTCTAGCAAGCTATGTTCAATTATCCGAATAAACATTAAATTATTCCAAAAAAAGTATATGATATTTTTAGACTAAACACTTATATACTGTGTGATGTTGTTTTAGAGGGTTGGAGGAGAGAGTTATTTAACGCTATAAGAAAAAAAGGATTACTCTGTAATTCTTTTTTTTTTTTTTGGTGGGGAGGGGGGAAACAGGGATTGAACTCAAGGGCACTTGACCTCTGAGCCACATCCCCAGCCCTATTTTGTATTTTATTTAGAAACAGGGTCTCACTGAGTTGCTTAGCACCTTGCTTTTGCTGAGGTTGGCTTTGAACTGGAGATCCTCCTGCCTCAGCTTCCCAAGCAGCTGGGATTACAAGCATGCGCCACTGCGCCAGGCTACTCTGTAAATTCTGTTTAGTAAATTGATTTTTGCACATATGATGCATCATAATCATCTCTGGCATGCAATGAGAACAGCACTATAGGATTTTTATTATTTTGATGTTTCATAAAATATTTAAATCATCTCCATTTGTTGAAATTACTACAGTTTTTAAAATAAGCCTCATTATTGGATTTACTGTTAGAGAGTAGAAGGGCCAAGGTTAAAGGTCAGTTCACTCCAAGCCCAAAAGTACTTATACAATGGTTCCATGCTGCTTTTTTTTTTAATTGCTTTTATTTTTTAAACACATGACAGTGGAATGCATCACAATTCTTATTACACATATAGACCACAATTTTTCATATCTCTGTTTGTATATAAAGTATGTTGACACCAATTCATGTCTTTTTTTTAAAGAGAGAGAGAGAATTTTTTAATATTTATTTTTTTTTTTTTTTAGTTTTTGGCAGACACAACATCTTTGTTTATATGTGGTGCTGAGGATTGAACCCGGGGCCGCACACATGCCAGGCGAGTGCGCTACCACTTGAGCCACATCCCCAGCCCCCAATTCATGTCTTCATACCTCTACTTTAGATAATGATATCTATCACATTCTACCATCATTGCTAACTCTCTGCCCCCTCTCTTCCCCTCCCATCCCTCTGCCCTATCTAGAGTTCGTCTATTCATTCCATGTTCCCTCTCTCTAACCCACTATGAGTCAGTCACCTTATATCAGAGAAAACATTCACCATTTATTTTTTGGGGATTGGCTAACTTCACTTAGCATTATCTTCTCCAACTACATCCATTTGCCTGCAAATGCCATGATTTTATTCTCTTTTATTGTTGAGTAATATTCCATTGAGTATATATGCCACATTTTTTAATCCATTCATCTACTGAAGGGCATCTAGGTTGGTTCCACAGTTTAGCTATTGTGAATTGTGCTGCTATAAACATTGATGTGGCTGTGTCCCTATAGTGTGCTGTTTTTAAGTCTTTTGGGTATAGACAGAGGAGAGGGATAGCTGGGTCAAATGGTGGTTCCATCCCAAGTTTTCCAAGGAATCTCCATACTGCTTTCCATATTGGCTGCACCAATCTGCAGTCCCACCAGAATTTATGAGTGTGCCTTTTTCCCTAAATCCTCGCCAACACTTATTGTTGTCTTCATAATAGCTGCCATTCTGACTAAAGTGAGATGAAATCTTTTTTTCTCTCTTTTTTTTTTTTATTGGTTTAATTTTTAAATACATGACAGCAGAATGCATCACAATTCTTATTACACATATAGAACAACTTTTCATACCTCTGTTTGTATATAAAGTATGTTCACACCAATTAATGTCTTCATACATGTACTTTAGATAATGATGTCTATCATCACGCTGCTTTTAAATAACAAATATAAAGTCTTGCATCAAGCATGGAACTCTAACCTCAATGAACTGTGTAGTTACTTTAATTATGTGCCTGTCTGAAAATAAGAGACATGTGGAACTGATTATATCTGGAAGCTTAATTTCCTGTTAGCAATATGAAAACATAAAATCAATACTCTGACCCATTAATCAATTGACACATCTCCCCTCTAGGCATATCAGATGATTTAACACATACTGAAATGAGCAAACTGCTGGCTAGTCCCTGCTTCTGATCATCCTGCCTTCAGACATCTCTCCCAGCAAGCACTGTGCCTTGGAAAATGAATGAAAGAAAAAACTTCACAGGTAGAAAATATTCTCCCTTGAGTGCCATTGCACTATAAAATGTGGTTTTTTGCTTATTAAACAAGCATTCAGTTGAATATAAGAAAAACTTATGTAAAAGGAAAACTTTCACAAATGGA